GAAATGATTTGTCCTCTGTTGATACTGATTACAGTTTTAATTGTCTTTCCTTTCCTTGTTGGCATTTTATTGTTTGATGATATGGTTGAAAGACTAATCAATAGAGTATTTATGTTATAATATGTTCTGTTGAGCCCCACAAGCATTAAAGTAGGTTCAAATCACTGAAAATAGCTTACAATGTACATCTCCATAAGAAGACAATAATAATTTATACTGCTTTCTTCTATTTGATGGGAAGTGCCTTACTATCTTGGTTTGAATATTTACAAATCAGGGTATACACTGAGGATATGAAAGATCGCATTTCCATAAGAATGTGCAGGTTTAATGCTTGGATCAGAGACTATCAAGAAATAATAAAGCTATAGAACTAGCCTGGGAAAGAGACAAAGAAATCTAGAAAAGGGGAATTAAAACTACATCTTATTATTATCAAGAAAACTGCATGGATCATCAGGAGCTTGACTGAAAGGGGAGCTTCCTGGTACAAAACATCACAATCTCTTTATTCAGAAACAAATTCCATTGAATTAGAGATTTTTAAAGCATTCGGCTGTGTCATTGTCACTGGATTTACTTTTTAAACTTTATTTGAAAATTTTAGGATGCCTTTTAATTGCTGACAAATACTTGGGACATTGTCTACAGTATGGCAATATCAATAGTTGGTTTCCTGCATGGTTGCAATCACTTTTAGTTAACTGCCATCTATGCACATATTGCTCTACACAAGTTTGCTAAATTCCGGCCTGCAAGGGGTTTACACTTAAAATGAACAAACAAAACAATGTCAACAAGAGAGGTAAGAGAAAGACTAGACTGAATGGCAAAATAAGAAGCAAATGTGAATATACTAATTCATTGCACAAGATGCTACATAGGGTTGGTTCCACCAATTTCAGAATCAACAGTAGAGTTCATGAATAGCTAAGGCTATAAGGAAGAACATAACTATCTGAATAATTTGTCCATAATTGGAGTGCTTTTTTCTTATATATTTATAGCACTTATATATTTAGCAAAGCATCGGCTCATCTATTTAACTTGCCATGATGATTTAAATGGTTTGCTGTGGTTTAGTTTTTAAAATTTGTGGCAAGGCACTTCGATAATAAGATATATGAATAGCCTGTATTTATATTTAGATGTTTGTCTCAAATAAATTAACAGAAAAAATGGTTTTGTAAAAAATAAATAAATAAAAGAACCCAGACACCCGCTCACAGCTTTGCTGATGAAGCATCCCCTGAATCTACATTTCTCTAGAAGAAAATGTTTATCAAGGTTTGCTTGTAATGTGTAGCTCTGCCCTCAAGAGTCTGCCAGCTAATTATCTGCCATGCATTATGTATGATTCCTTGGACTAGTTTACAGGTTTGAGCAGCAATTACTGAGTGACAGAGAAGCATTCCTGTAGACCAGGGAAGAGTTCCGGTTGAGGAAACAACATTCATTTACTTGATTATAGCACTGTGAGGGCTGAAGCTGGCAAGGTGTGGAGCAAGAGGCTCAGACTAGACAATGCTCTTATGTAAACCTGGCATGTGCCTTTCACATTCCAGTCTGGCAAGGGAGTAGCCCAGCATTCATTACCAGAAAACGATGCGAGAAAGAGACCTAAAAGTTAAATTCTGGGGATTCTGTCTCTCTCTCTCTCTCTCTCTCTCTCACACACACACACAGAGAGAGAGAGAGAGAGAGAGAGAGAGAGAGATTTGGCTAGATTTCTGTGTTAATGGGATTAGGGAGTAGAAATGGAAGTCTTCTGCATAGATATGCTTTAAATTTTCAATAAAGTTTTTCTCTAACCATGCTGAGTCTAGAAGGTTCTGCTAGCTAGTTTCCCAGAGAATTGGAGGATTGGGTGAGTGCTGAAGAGTTAAAAATGAAGCTGTGCTTTCAAAAAGCCTGCTGTCTCAGTGCTTTGCCCTCCTTCCTGTCCACCAGCACCACTACTGCAACATAGGGATGTATATTGATATTGATATTGATATCTATATATACAGTACTGTACAAAAGTTTTAGGCAGGTGTGAAAAAATGCTGTAAAGTAAGAA